AATGAGTGTTTAAGCAACAAGGTACAGCGGTTGATTACTTGAAAATAAGCTTTATCGCAACTGTGAACTTCGTCTAATATATTAATCTCAAGTATTATTTCTAGCGATCAGACATCTTAAATATGACTGCTCTGTTGTTAAGCCCTGTCAACCTCATATGACGACGAGGAAGCAATAACAACCGAATAAAAGGCTGAAATGAGTAAGTAAATGGTGATCTGTAAGTGATTAGTAGGTAACTTCTCAAGCAAATAATCCAATGAATGATTGGTTAAAGATGGCTTTGCGGGAAACTTCAGCGTTGGATTCCCTGTCTTCGGCTAGTGATGATAGTTGTCGATTTTAAAACCCATTTGCGTACCACGCACGACGTCAGGAATATGGTGTTCCAGTCGGCTTATGTGTCATTGTGATTGTGTTGTTGGATCGTGCTTGTATTTGGACGACCTTGAAAAGTTGTCAGACTTGCCTTGGATGTCATAAAAATATTGCTACCGGATTGAAGCGGTGTAAATGCACAGTGTAAAGAGCGAAAAATACATTTCTAACTGTACAGCAGCAGCTCTATTGCACCACCCCCTTGCTTTTAGAAGCCTACGAGGAGGGGCCAAGGCTTCGTGGTATTTAAATGACTGCAGTGCATAGGTCGCAAAACCGCGTCTCAAATTGAAGTTGAGAGGTCCTCAAGAACATCGGGCTTATATTTTGTCCATTTGTCTTGAATGAATGCCAAGGTTATTTTCAATTTACAATACACATGAATGAAAGGATCCAAAGTACTTAGTAAGGTTCAGCGCAGAAGTTAAGATTGACTTAACCCCAATGTACTGGCAAAATATTGTGGCAAGAAGAGTCATTGGAACTTGTATTTGCTGTATGACGTAAGCCAACTCTTTTCAGTACTCATTTTCACCCGAAATCATGCGTTTAACTAACCAACGTTATCCAAGAATATAGTGAAGGCCCCGCCGACTTCGCGCAGCTGCAACACGGAAGAAATCCGTGAAGCAGAAATTAGCTACTTTCACAAGACCTTACCTCTGATGAATCGACACTGCTAAACAGTGATCTGCTTCATCACATTACAGCCTTGATATCGGAGTTCCCAAGTAAGTAGAACCTTGGACTCTGAACCGAATGCTCCCGGGTTTCTGTCCCGATCGGGTCACTCGCTTTTCTTCCTTCTGAGGTTAATAAATGCGGACCACTCTCGGGGAGGGGGGGGGGCAAACAACAGACTATGCCGACCACATACCCGCTGTTACTCCTGATCGCATGGAAATGGAAATCAGTTGCCCTCCTTGAACGTATGAAAGGAAATACGCCAGAAAAGACTCCATAATGAAATTGTAAGGAAGACCGGTTTTAACTTTTAAAAGTCCAGCTTTCCTTCTTTTCATATTTTTAATTAATCAGGCCAACAATACAAATACATATAATTTCTATCGCATTGTATGCATCAGAACAGATCGAAGAATCTTTTGTTAAAGTTTGTAGTCTAGTGAAAAGCTGGGATGGCATACGATTTTTCTTTCAAAATCTTCGTCACAGTAGCCCAGCTTAAACCCTTGACAGTATGTAAAACAAGCTGGAACAGGACATATAAAGAATTTATACATTTAAGACCTACAGACCGATTAATATTAGAATACAAGAACATCTGTCCGTAATCTGCAGTTGCCATGCTGAATGCCCAGTGATTTCCTCCGACATTATTCTAGAGGGATATAGCATCAGCGAGGCGAATGTTTCATTATATAAACAAGAAAGCGTCATTTTAAGGATTTACTACATATTTGTATACGTATATAAAATCTGCAACGAATGATCCTCATCCTTTGAATTAAGGAAAGAAATGTTTGTAACCGTTATAATGTCGCTTATTTTTACGCTTGCATGGCGAAGACTTTTTGGCACCATTCTGTTACTGGAGTTAATAGTTAATAATTTGAGCGCTGATCTTCATTTCCCTGCCATCAGACAGAAATACTTAATTTTAAACGCGGAGTCGATAGCAGCCATGTGGCAAGCGTATAGTATAGTATAGTATAGTCTTCTGTTGTGTTGCCGCACAATGGTACTAATTTTTCAGCCACGGAAGGAAGTAACGAGAGTGACCCGGTTATACGTCGGACGGTTTACCTGTTCAGCAACCCAGTCTTCGATATAAGTCGTAGTTTAGGTGGAGTGTTAGATTACGTTCGATGTCTCGAACTGAGTGAAGTGCAGCAACTGTCACTCAGAATTAAGTTATTAATAGCTTGTTCTGTTCCAGCGCGCTGATTTGACATCTCTTTCAAACACGTCTCGTGACGTTGTCGGTATTAGTTACCAAACGCATGGAGCAGAATTTAAACCTGATCATCACTGTTTGCTTTGTGATTTTTAATAAAGCGTTCATTCACAACCTTTGAATTAGTATTAAATAATAATTGCTGCTTTAATGGTGCCCTATCTTACTAGAGGCAAGGGGATGGTGCAGCTTCACCGTGTAAATCCGGAGAATTGACAGAATAATGTTATTCCTACCGGAAGTATCTAGAATTAGCAGTTTGCTAATATAAACATAATACCGGAATCTCTTTAATGTATTAGTGTTTTTTCTCTTGCGATGGTTGGTGATTGTAAGTAAGCAACTAGTATTATCAAGGTATGTAGTATTTTAATGCTTAAGCGATTTAATACTTATGCAGAACTACTTATTTCGTTACGTATGAACTACTGTCTTAAGTAAATACTATTACTTAAGTCTTATCTCTGCAGTACTTTGTGTATCAAAAAGTTATCGTTTTCTGTTGATTTCAAGACGAGCATTTTGTCTCGGCTGCGTGACAAATATTGCTGGGTATTTTGCGCAAATAATTAAAAAATGTAAGGAATTATAGCTTATGCTGTGTTGTGAAATGTGGCCTTTTTCCTGTTATTGCTCTGTTTTATAAAATGCGTACGGTCACTGAAATGGCTGTGTTATTTTTGCGGCGATGGTAATGCTAGGCAAGAATATACGAATTTTAATGTCGCTAACCTCAGTTTTCAAGAAACCACATCACTTATGAGGTCAGTCGGTCAGTCAGTGAGTTTCGATAACCCCTTATCCTTTCGGTTTTTAATTTAGTCGCGTCAAACAGTATCTTTAGCGTTCCTTATCTTATGCCAGAGTCTGAATTTCGGAAGAAGACAACTGGAGTGTAGAGCAGACTCCGTCGATATATTTGCTCCATGTTAATCTTGGACGTCCATGGGTCTTCGGCCGGTCGGCTGGGCATGCCGCTTCCCCTTCGTTTCTGGAACTTTTGCGATATATGCCCAAAGTCGTAGTCGTGAGTTCTCAATCTGAAGAAGCAGCGGCTGTTTATCAAGGCTGTTCTGAATATTTGGACTTTGACGAGACGCCTGAGCCCAGCGATTCGGCTCAGAAGGGGTCCACGATTCAGTGGTTGTTTCGCCTACCTTTTTCGACTCAATTATTAGAATTATTTTTTCCAATATTGATATCGGATTCACGCCGGAAAAACGTACGATGTAAAGTTTTATTTACTTTACACCGTTACTGCACATGTCTGTGGTATATAGAAGTGCTTTCACCGTGATATTGATATACCACAGTATTACATTGCTTCCTTATTTCTAGTCGCCTATGGAGATTCAAGCATAACTTTCATTCCAGCATCTATTGTGACATTTCAGGGCTGTTTTTCATTATCGAAGTAAGTGAGCAGCGTGAATCCTAAGTAGTCAGCGTATTTAGTATGCGACTGATAATCGTAAAAATGTAGCTACGTAAGCGAACATGAATGTTTGTCATTGCATGACGATGACCAGGACAGCGATAATGACGAAGACAGGTCAACGACGATAATGATAATGGTAACGGTGGTGTAGCTGTGACGGTGATAAGAGTACTGACGGTACTGGGACTGAAACAGTCGTAGTGATAATGAGAAGGATTATCGATATTATTGATGTTGACCCCCATCGATGTGAGCAACAATGACTAACGCACTTTGTTGCCATTTCTATATTGACCATTATTGTGTGCCGTTTCTACAGCATTGTCTCCTAGATCTAAAGGTATGAGCTCATCTACGTTTCGACGCGATCAGTTAAAAGTGCCTTTCAAGACAATATTTTCAACATCAAGGATAGATAGATCCATGTATATAATATAACAATATTCAGTGCCGTGGCAAAGTCAGTCTAATGTGCTTCTTCGTCGAAATGATGAATAGGAAATGGCCCGAACAAGAACAACATCGATCTTGATGCTAGCAGCTGTGTTTTGCTTTGATATTGTACATATGTTGTAAAACCATTATAATAAGAGTCTAGGTCTCAAGGCTTCTGAATGCGCGTTATTTTATTAAATTTTAACTCGTTTTTACATCCTGTAAGTAACGCAAGATCGTCGCATATGCGTATCATTTAGGGAAATGTGTTCATATTATATACGCTAGTGTTACAGTGGCGTTGTGCCGCATTTCATTGGCAGAAGGCTAAGAAAGAGTAGAGCTGATTCTTACAAACGACAAAAACCTATTGCTAAAAAGATGCCTACAAATCGAAGTATACTTGTTGCTTTTCGAATGTTTTTATTTGACCTAACCAAGGTGCAGTTTCACCCCAATTCCCTGCAGGTGCTAAAATGCCGTATAATCGTAGCCTGCGTAAACGGACCGCACGCTATGAGGAGTAACGGGATGGAGAAACTATGCTGTTCGAATCGGAAGAAGAACCGATACTTTTTGAGGGAAAGCTGAGCTGAAACTGACGTTGCGATGGAACGCGACCCTTAATTTCAACAGGTATAGGTA